GTGTTGCTCCCATGTGCTGTGTTGGCTCTCCTGGCCTCTGATGAAACTCCAGGCTCAGGGATAGCCCACCTGGCCCTGCCAGGGACCTCCCTGGGGTTGGAGAGTTCTGGGGCTATTGCTCATGCCACTCCACTGTCAGTGGCATCATCTTGATGCTGGGGCAGGTGCCAGCCTAGGGGTGACTGGACTGAGATTTTCTTTGCTGTGTTTGCTAAGGAGGCTTATCTTTCAAATGGGGCCTCTGTTGCCTACACATCATTTTGGGGCCTGCAAGTTTCCCATGTGTAAGAAGTCATGGTTTTCACAAAGAATTACTTCCATCTTCCTAAAGCCAGAAATTTCTAAGAGCTTTTCAGACTCAACAGGAATACTTACAACATTCCAATTAAATTAAAGAGGGTTCAGAAGCACATTTGTTTTAGGCCAGGCGCTCTGGAGGTTCACAAGTTCCAGGCCAGCCTCTGCAACTTAGTGAGGCCCTGTCTCAAAATGTAATAAGATTTTCAAAGGATTGGGGATGTAGCTCAGTGGTCGAGCACTTCTGGATTCAATCTCAGTACAGAAAGAAAAAGGCTTAGTGTTTTAAAAATGAGGAAAACCAAAGCGATGAGATGCAGGTGCTGTGTGTTTGCCTCTGACCCCACTGGTTCTAAGAGCAGGTGCACCACTGATGAAGTCCAGTTGACAGGGGTTCCCCGTCTCTGGAGGTTTCTTCTTTAGTTCCCCAGAAACTCTGTGTAGTCCCTGTTGAAAACCAGGTGCGTTCTGGGAACATCTGCTGGATCCAAACTGAATGGGTGATGTTTGAAACCAGTTCATTTCAGCCTGGGCCGAGGGCTCTCCTTTGGAGATGTCTGCACAGAGGCAGGGCAGGCTGTCTGATGGGTCAGGAGGAAGAAGCACTGCACATCGGCTTCTTGCACTTGGGCCCTGAGCTGGGGTCTAGGGTGGCTGGTTGATGGGGCTGGCAGAAGCTGGCTTCTTACCGGTGGATTGCACCCTCCTGTGGCCTGCAGACGCCCAGGGCAAGATGATGCCACTGGCAGTGCTTATTTTTTTTAAAAAATATTTTATTAGTTGTTGATAGACCTTAATTTATTTATAGGTGGTGCCGAGGATCGAACCCAGTGCCTCACACATGCCAGGCAAGCGCTCTGCCACGGAGCCCCAGGCCAGTCCCTGGCAGTACTTATTGAGCTGCTCCTCTGTGTGGGTCACAGAGTCCTGGAGACCACACAGGGCAGGGGAAGAATGGGGCCAGCGCTGCCGGCTTGACCTGGCCCCAGTGAGTTGAGGAGACCTCATGGGAAGGGTCTCCCCAGTAAGGGGACCCAGGGCCTTTTAGCCAGAGCAACCTGAGTACAGAATAAAAATGTAAGCCCTGGGCGTGCTGGGAGCAGAGCTGACCAGGCAGGCAGGACTGCCCTCGGGTCTTTGTATGCTGTACCAAGGAGATTGGATTTGGTTAGAAGATAGCCAGGAGCCTTGGCAGAGGCCCAGCAGAACGGGATACCATGACCTGGTGTCCATTCTGGAGGAGTGGCTTCTGTGGGTGGCCACCTGAGGTTGAATTGAGGAGCCTGGCCCAGGACAGGGTGCCTCGGGTGGGCCTTAGGAGGTGAGGCCTCAGTCTGAGTCGTGGTGCTGTGGGGTGCCTCGGGGGACTGCGATCCGCCCCCTCCTGTGCCTGTGCTGCTGGACTCCTGCACTGGCCCTAAACACGTGCTCCGCAGAACTGTCACCAGGCGGAGCTGGGCAGACTGGCCAGCCAGGGCTGCTGGCTACACCGGTCCGGGTTGGAAGGCCAGGGTCCCAGTGAGGCAGCGGCCTGCGGCCGAGGGCAGCTGCAGCTCAGATGCAGTGGGGGCTGTCCTGGCTCTGCCTAGGCTCTGAGGGAGTGTGTGTGCGGGCAGAGCCCCGGGGCGGGTGGGAAGCCCTGGGCAGGTGTGTTTTAAAAAGATCCCTTTGGTAGCCACAAAAAGGTGAATGGCCCGTTCAGGTCTGTGCAAGAAGAGTGGGGGCTGAGGTGTGGGTGTGGCAAGTTCAGCCGGATGACCAAGCCCTTGGACAGGCCAGGGGAACTGAGAGGCGGAGGAAGGCGGAGGGTGGGTGGTGCTCAGGGGTCGGTAGGGTCCCAGGAGCTGCGCCGGGCGGGTGCCTGGCAGCTCTGCAGCCCAGGGAGGCTGCTGCGATGTGACAGCTGTGGGCTGTGCCTGTGAGTGAGGGCTGCCCCGGCTGCCCAGCCTGGGTGGGAAAGGACCTCTCCAGACCCCTGAGGCGCTCCGGCACCTCTGGTGATCACGGCCTGCTGACCTGTGCCTTCTGGGGGCCCTGTGTGTCCGCGGCCCCTCCGCCCTCCTCAGCCTTCCTGGGCCCTGAGCCCCCTCCCCTGCACAGCTGGCTCTCCCTCCTGCAGAGGGGCCCTAGATGGGCTGGGCCCTCGTTTTGCTCCCACAGCGACACCCTGTCCACATCCCCCCAGGCCGGAAGTGCCCGTGCCTGTCCTCCCCTGGACTGGAAGCACTTGGAGGACTGCAGGCCCCTGTGCGCACACCAGAAGAGAGTGCAGCTGGGCGTGTGTCCAGACAGGGCTCTCTGCTCAGGACCCCTGAAGGCCTGGCGCCACTAGTTCCTGTCTGCCCCCCGGGTGCCAGGGACCCTGTCTAGGAGGACAGTGAGGATGCTGTGCAGCCCCCACATCCCTGACCACTCCACTGCTGCCCCCCAGGGTGAGCCGTCACTGCAGGGACCCGGGCTCAAAGCCCTGAATCGTCTCTTACTATGTCCGCCCCAGGGAAAGCTCTTCAGCTGCCCTTGGTGGCTCTTCGGTTACAAGGGGGACCTCCACAAAAAGTCTCCAGTTCTGAACGCGTGGCGGAGAATTGCCCTTCTTCTTTCTCATGACAGGTGCAGGAGGACAGTAGGTGGTCTCCACGGCCTTCAGAGGGTGTGTGATTGGACACCTGATATTGTGTGGCTTTCCGGCTCCTGGGTCTCTGCCAGGTGTTCCCTTTCTGACTTGCCACCCTAAACACTGGTGCTGGGCTCTGAGGAGTCCAGGCGTTCCCACTGTCCACTGGCACCCCCATGTCCTCGGTGAAATTGATAAAGCCCTTGTTGGATCAATCCTGATGGTAGGTGCGGGTGAGGCTCCAGGTCTCTGCCACCCTGAGGCCCTCAGGTGAATGTGGTAGCAGGTCCTTGGCAGGTACAGAGACGAGAGGAAGAGGGTTTTAGAGACTTGGTAGCAGTTTGGCAAAATAGTTTTATGTTGTTGAATCTAGTATTTTAAAAACTCGGCCGCAGCCAGATGTGTTACTGATCTTGTTGTTTGTTCTTGTGACCTGTGACCTCGGAGTGAAATGAACTTCCTGTCTCTAAACGTCGTATTTGTGCTGATTTCCAGGTCCCTTCTGGCCTGAGAGTGCTGGAGTCCGTGTCCACACACACCACCCTGAGGTTCTCTGGTGGCTGTTTGTCTGTCCGTTTTAATTTCTTTTAGATGTATGGACCTTGATTCTATTCGTTTATTTACATGCGGAGCTGAGGCTCGAACCCAGTGCCTCACACATGCCAGGCGAGCGCTCCACCCGAGCCCCAGCCCGTTGGGGTTTGTGTCTGAATGTCAGCTTTACTCGCTCGCCCCGGGCAGCGGGAGGCACTGGCCTGGGTTGCCAGGCTCTCCCACCCTCCTGTGCTCCTCTGGCTCGCTGCCCCGCCCGACCAGGAAGGCTTCCACGAATCACTTAGCTGAGATGACCCGAGGCAGGGTTTTTTAAGAAGCTGGCTCTCGCACTCGTGGAGACTGCCAGTCACCTTCCTCTGCTGGCCCTTCTGCAGTGAGAGGTCCCTCAAATCAGGCGCGGCCACTGCCGTGTGCACCAGAGCTCTGCACCTGCCTGCACACCCAGCCATGGTACCCAGGTGGGGTGCTGAGGACCTGGTCCTGGGTCCTTTCCTGTAAGTGGCCTCACAGCGATGGGAGTCAAACCAGGAAGTCCCTCGCTCAGCGGTTGGTGTGTCAGAAGCCACTCCTGTCTGCTGGGTGCGGCGAGTCTCCAGGTGCCCTGCCCAGGAGCAGGCCCTCAGGGTGAATGTGGTAGCAGGTCCTTGGCAGGTACAGAGAGGAAGAGGGTTTTAGAGACTTGGTAGCAGTTTGGCAGAATAGTTTTATGTTGTTGAATCTAGTATTTTAAAAAATCGGATGTTACCTGCTAGGCCAGGTAACCTAGCAAGACCTTGTCACAAAAACAAAATGGACTCCTATAGCATGTACCTTTTTATTTTATTTTATTTTATTTTTGTACCAGGGATTGAACCCAGGGGCACTTAGCCGCTGAGCCACATGCCCAGCCCTTTTAAAATTTTTTATTTAGATGTAGTGTCTCACTACACTTAACTGTCATGTATATCTAAAAGCAACAACAACAACAAAATGATATGCTGTTCATGTGTGTAAAAGAAAAAAGAAGTAGGGCCTCATTGAGGCTGACTTGGAACTTTGGATCCTCCTGCTTCGGCCTCCTGAGCCCCGGGGATTACAGGTGTGTGCCACCACACCTGGCCTCTTTTCTTTCTTTGCATCATTTTTTCCAGCATTTTATTTCTTGTTTTATCAAAATGTCAGGCCACTTTTTGGGATTCACTACCATGTGGCTCAGGCCCCCAGGAGCGAGTTTGACTCCAGGAACAGAGCACAGGTCGGGCAGGGAGCTGGTGCTCAGAGTCGCTGCAGCCCAATCTCTCCACAGACAAGTGAAGTGCACGCTCCGTGGAGCTCCTAAGAGCCCTGCTCTCGGGGGTGTGCAAACCTTGAGATTCCCAACTTTCCTCCCTCTTCCTCTTCTGGGTTTACTGCCTCACCCCTGTTATAGGGACGGGAGGATAGAAGCCCAGGCTGCAGGACACACCGGTCCTTGATGTCTAAGTCCAGCGCTCCCTTGCTTCAGAACCTGTGCATGATCAGACAGCTAATGCCTGACCCAGAGCTTCGTCTGACTGCGCTGACCGTGGCTCGGGGAGCAGAGTGGGCACCGGGGAAGGAAGGCTGGGTCCCTTATGGCTCGCGGGCCCTGCTCCTTCTCTTTGCTACAGCTGCTGTCATGCTGCCGTTGTGCTCAGAGAAGACCCTGAGCGAGATGCTGACCCGCAAGGAGGAGGAGTGGCGGGTGCTGCAGGCCCGTCACACCCAGATGCAGGAGGCAGCTCTGCAGGATGCACAGAAGCAGCTGGAAGAGGCCCAGGGGAAGCTGCGTCGCCTGCAGGAGGACTTCCTTTACAACCTGCGGGTGCTGGAGGAGCGGGACCTGGAGCTGGAGCACTACGACGCGGCGTTTGCCCAGGCCAGGGGGCAGGAGGAGGCCCGGCAGGCAGAGGTGAGCGAGCTGAAGGTGGAGGTGGCCAGGCTGAAGCAGGAGCTGGCCAGAGAGGCCAGGCGCATGGAGGAGCTGCAGCAGCAGCAGCAGCGGAGGGCGCAGGAGCACCACCAGGAGCTGGAGCGCGTCCACAGGTGAGCCCCCGCTCTGCCCGCGGTGCCCCGAGCTGTGAGCCCCGCTCCACTCGCTCGCGCCCCGCCCCGAGCTGAGACCCCGGTTCAGGGCTCGGGCCTCGGTGGCCAGTGCATGATGCACAAAGGCAGGTAGGACAGGGCCTGGAAGGCCTCTTTCTGGGTTTTCACGAGGCTCTGAAGTTACCCAGGATCTGGTTTAAATATTTAGAATTTGATTCACTAATTAGAGATCAATATTATTTCAATAATAAATCATTTAAGTTTGTGATTAATGTGAAATATCTATTAATTTCAAAACTCAAGGAGCTGCTGGGCGTGGTGGCACACGCTGTGACCCCGGCAACTCAGGAGGCTGAGGCAGGAGGCTCCTAGGCTTGAGGCCACCTGGGCAACTTAGCAAGACCCTGTCTCAGAATGAAAAATAGAAAAAAAAAGCTGGGGTGTGGCCCAGGGGTGAAGTGCCCCTCGGTTTAATTCTCACACCAAAAACGAATGGAATGAATGGGTAGAGTGCTCTGCTCTTCAGTGCCGTGTCCCTCCAGAGCTGGGATTCCAGGCCCAGGCCACGCTGCTCTTCCCACCCTGCTGTCCCACTGGCATGAGTGGTAGGCCTGGTCACTGTCCCGCAGGTCCCTAGGCCTCTACTCATTTTGTTTTGTTTTGGGGGGGGAGGTTTTGGTACCAGGGATTGAGCTCAGGGGCACTGGACCCCTGAGCCACACCCCCAGCCCTGTTTTGTGTTTTATTTAGAGGCAGGTCTCACTGAGTTGCTTAGCGCCTCGCTTTTGCTGAGGCTGGCTTTGAGCTTATAACCCTCCTGCCTCAGCCTCTGGAGCCACTGGGATTGCAGGCGTGGCCACCGTGCCTGGCGGTGTCGGCCACTGTTGACAAAGACTTTGCCTGAGTCCTGGAAGTCAAGGGATTTGGGGTTTCCATGTTTTGCTTTCTCTCTTGCTGGCGGTCACCTGGCCAGGTGGAGTAGAGGTCCTGCTACCTCTGCCCACTGTATCCCTGTGCAAATGTGAAGCACCAGCTGCGTGCGCAGGGGTGCCTATGAGCATGTGTGGTGTGGTCTCTCAGTGCTGTGTCTGGTTACCACAGTGACAAGAACGGCGAGATCAGCCACCAGCGGGAGCAGTATGAGAATCTCAAGTGGAGGCTGGAGAGGAAGCTCGAGGAGCTGGACGGCGAGCTCGCTCTGCAGAGACAGGTAGTGCCTGCTGCCCCCGCTGCCCGCTGCGAACCTGGGTTGCACAGGGTTCCCAGCAGAGAGCCTTGTTCTGCCCACTGGAGGATTCCCCTTGACCACTGTCCTTCACAGACATTCCAGAGATGTCCTTATGCTGCAGCTGTCCACTTTCAGTCATGCAGACCATCTATTGACCAGGGGCCAGCCATCCTTTTCTGGGTCAAGTGCTGAGAGAATCGCCCCTGAGCCGTAGGTACAGGCCGGGAGAGAGAAGGCAGGGCTCAGAGGTGGGAGCCATGGGCATTTGGGCCGCTCCTTCCCATAACTGCCCTGTCTTCAGCTTGCTGGGGCCTGACCTGTGGACTCCATTTCTGTTTGATGATGGTCTGTTAGTGCCCAGGCCAAGCTTTATGGCTCTGAGGTCAGTGACCCCCACCCAGTTCGTGTGCTCAGCTCTGTGGTCCCAGTAGCAAGCCAAGAGCTCTCTCCCAAGGAGAGCGGTCGTCTGTGGATGGCAGCAGGCCTCACGCCCCAGCCCTCAAGGCAGAGGCTGCCACGCCCCTCAGGCCCCAGGGCGAGGGCTGGACACTAGGCCCAGGTGGCAGAGCCACCTCTCTTGTTCAGAGCCTTCTCCTGCCCTGGCTGCTCAGTAAGTGGGCCAGAGTGACACTTCCAGTGGGCAGCAGGTGGCCTCAGATCCGAGGAGGTGCACTGGGCCTTCTGCCTCTTCCTTGGATGTGGGGGAAGCCAGACGCAGCGACCAGCCTCCACCTGGGAAGGGGCAGCTTGGCGTGCCCCCAGGCCCTCGCAGTTCAGAGGTGCAGGCCCTGGAACAGTGCGTCTTCAGGGAGGGGACGGTGGCTGGAGCTCTGGAGAGCCGCGTGCCCTCAGGTAGGAGAAATGTGTGGTCAAGAGAAGACGGGTTGTGACTTGTGAGTGACAGGGTTCCTCAGTGGGGCCATGGGCACCTCCAAAGAAGCTCCACCCAGGGCTGGTTCCCACGGGCAGGCGGGCAGGCAGGCGCTGGCCCCTGGCATTTGGCTTTCCAGGCTGCCCACCTGCAGAAGAAACGCTTAGGCCAAGCAGGGCACGTTCTGGTGGCCTCTTACAGACCCCTACATAGTTCCTGTCCCTTGAGGTGGCAGCCCGTCCCTGGAAGCAGGAAAAGGGGACGCGCTGACACGTGCAGGGGGTCTCTCCTGGTGGTGTCAGCCCAGGGCGGCTCTGGGGTGGTCTGTGACGACGCCCCACCGTCAGTCTCCACTCTCAAGTGGGGGTCTCCCTGCTGGCCAGCCTGCCGGGCTGTCTCTGACCTCAGAAGGTCTTGGTGTGGTCATGGGTGGGTCGGGTGGAATTTATCCAGTGAGGATGCCGGTTCTTGTCCTGCACTCTGAAGTGAGGTGGTGGTACCGGGAGGTCTGTCACCTGGGTCATGCGTGCAAGCTGCCGTCTCTGGAGGAAGGAGGTCTTGGCCCGTCGGTCAGTCGCAGGCGGGGAGCCACTGGAGGGGGCACCAGATGATTACTGTTTTATTCATTCATATAACAGCTTTTTTTTTGTTTTTAAACACAAACTACATGCCTGGAGGTCTCCCATGTTCTGGAGTTGAGTGTGACCCCTGGACGTGCCTGGACTCACCTGTTTTCACAGAGCAGGCTGACACTGAAGTGTAGGTGACCCTGAGCCTCTGCAGCGTCAGTGGTCCCGGCCTGGCCAACGGCGTTGCCTGCTGCGGACACAGGGAAGGCTCAGGAGTGCCAAGGTGGGGTGGCACACAACTTCTGAACAGGGCACTCAGAAAGGCCCCCTGAGAGCTGCAGGGTGGCTGGGGGGGGGGGGRGGGAGCAGGTGCTCCAAGCTGGGACCTCGAAGGGAGCGGTCAAGCCCAGGAGCACGGAGGTGGAGGCAGGCCTGCAGGCCGCAGGCCTTTGTGAGGATGACCTGAGGAACTGCTGGTTTGAGCAGAGCAGTGTGAGTCGCCCAGCTCAAGGACAGCAGGCTGCGGCAGAAGTAGCTGGTGGGGTGCTGGGAGGGCCCAGGGGATGGGGCCGTGCTGCAAGGGCAGGGTGCACCCACAGGGGAAACCAGGGGCCGTCGCACAAGTTGGGCTGAGTGGGGGTGGCAGAGCCTGGTCGGACAGGCTGGTGTGGCGTCCCGGGAGAGGACCGGGCAGGGAGCAGCTTGAGGTGGGCTGGATGGCCCACAGGGGAGCCTGGCTGCGGTTCTGTCTGGGCCAGGGAGGCACAGTGGTGTGGGTCTCCTGCCCCCTAGTGGCCCCAGCCTGTTTGTGCAGATGTGCCCCCGTGTGTGGGCCCTGGCAGGAGCTAGGTCTGTTTCCTGCCCGTGGCATGGCTCATGTACACTCGGGGTTGCCCCTGCGTCGCCAGGTGGTCATGTGCATCCTGCCTGCCAGGGCAGAGGGTGCCTAGCAGGGTGGGAGCAGACCGGCCCAGCCTTCCTCAGAGCCCTCCCTCCAGGGCACTGGGTTTGGTGGGAGTGGGAGGTCCTCAGGAAGGGCTCGGTGGGCTGGCCCTGGAGGGTCCCTGTGCTCTCATTCTCAGTCCCTGAGCAGCTAGTGCTCCATCTACACCCAGTGCTTCCCAGCCACGTCACAGTGTCTGAGTCCCTGCTCTGACGTTCCAAGGGTGCCTGGTGCTGGGTGATGTGTGAGGAGATGAGGTTCCCTTGGCTCGTGACTTACGTGGCTGGAGGCTCCACAGCCGGACACTGGCATCTGGAGAAGACCCTCTGGCTGGTCACAACATGTTGGCAAAATGAACAGGGGACATGAGCAGAAGGGGCATGTGGGTCAGCCGGGAAGCCAGAGACCAGGGCAGGCCAGGCTTGACTTTGCAGAGGACCTGTGGGAGCCAGTTTCTGCCTGTGAGAGCTGCGGCAGCGCTCTGAGGGCCCCGGGCTCTGATCGTCCAGAGGCCTCCCCAGGGCTGCCGCAGGGGGCTCAGGCTTCCGGCACATGGGTGAGTGGGGCAGGCCACATTCGGACTGTAGACCCTCCCGGCACTGGCCAACACTTGTGTCCCAGTGCGCTGTGGCAGGAGGTCCATGCGGTGGCCATGGCCCATCAGTGCTCCCCCATGGGCCCCTGACTTCTCAGTGGCAGCTGACGGCTGTGTCCACCTACCCTGACCTAGATGGCTGGCCCCGCCGTCCTTTCAGTGTGAGTCCTTGTTGTTTCAGGAACTGCTACTAGAATTCGAATCTGAAATGCAGAAGAGGGAGCACGAGTTCCGACTGCAGGCTGATGGCATGAGCAGTGTGGTCTTGTCCCAGGAGCTCAAGGTACGGCGCCTCTGGCTGGGAAGGCTGTGCTCATCAGCAGGGATCCCTCTGCCCTGCAAGCCAGACAGCTCACTCAGAGACTGCAGCAGGCTCTGTGGTGCCGCCTCGGTCAGCCTCTCCATCCCAGTCCAGCCACCTGAAGCCTGGAGAGGGTGCCCTCCCTCCACTGTCCACTCCCAGCCTCCTGCAGCCTGCCCTGCTGTTGGCCTTCTCCACGTGGGCTGCTGGGGGTCTCCCCACTTTACAGCAAGCCTTGGAAGCCAAGGCTCAGGGGGTCAGGGCCTGCCTGGAGCTAGCAGCTGACGCATGGCCCAGCTGGAGCCATAGCCTTGCTGGGGGGCAGAGTGCGGCTGCCACTGTGTGCACACAGACTCAGCACCCCGGACAGTGCCAGGACACAGCTCACCTCGAGGGCCCCTGCCGCTCTGGCACAGGGCCTATCCCCAAGTCTCCCAGACCCCCACTCCCACCCCGGGGCGTAGTACCAAGTTCTCAGCCAGAACCCAGAGCTGTCTGGGGCTTCAGGCCAGGGCTGCCACACCGGGACCCTCACGAGGCTGCTCTGGGGGATCTCTCAGCCTAAAGAGAGAACAGGTAGGCCGTGTGGATGTCCTGTGCGCTGTGATGGGCCGGGCACACAGGTGAGGACCCCAGGTGCCTGCCCTCAGCTCTGTCTGCTGCATAAGGTAGCACACCTCAAGTTCCTGCCACATAAGAGGGTTGCCCTATGTGGACACGGCCGCCCCGGCCTGGCAGCCACCCTGGCCCAATAGCTGCCCTCACACTCGTCTTGTACAGGTGGCAGGGAGGCCAGGGCTCATCTGAGCAGCACCCAGAAGGGCTCGGAGGTGGTCTCTGACCTGCACCGACTTCCCTTGCTCTGCGTTCAATTTCAGTGTTTGAATGATAATCGAGTTTTGTGTTGAGAGATGAGTAGTTTTAGTTGGTCAGTGGCAGGTGGGCAGGGGAGGGGGCCCTCAGAGGTCCTGGGTGTCTCTGTATTCTCGTCGGGACGGCCTGAGGACCTTCTTCCTGTTTGCTGCTGCTCTCTCCTGGTGAAGCAGCCGTTTACCTCTGGAGTCTCGGTTTATGCCACTTGCATCCTCCTTTTGAGTGTTCCGGTGTTTCGTTGACGCACGGTATCCTGTGACGTGTGTGGTCACACAGGGAGGTCTCCACTCAGGCCCTGTAGCCTCCCAGTGGTGGGGACCTTCAGGCCCGCTGCGTTCGCTGCTCTGAAACGTCCAGGCGGCGGTTATCAGCCCGGCCACGCGGCACTGGGGAGAGTGCAGTCCTTCGTCCTCCTGTCCAGCTGCCCGCCTCTGAACTTGTGAAGTCTTCCTCAGGTTAAACTACTGAGCAAGGAGCTGGAGGCTCTAAAGGAAGCTGGGGCCCAGGCAGCAGAGTGTCTGCAGAGAGCGGAGACGGCCAACGCCGAGCTGGAGAAGCAACTGCAGGGCCGCGCCTGGGAGCTGCGGGAAGTGGAAGCCCTGAAGGACGCCCGGTGGGTGGCCCTCCTCCTCCCGGGCAGGCTCCGTGGGTCTGCCCTCTTCGCTGGCTCCAGGCCAGGTCCTGCTAGCTCCTTACCTGTTCTTCTGCTGTCACCTCTGTTTAGGATAAAGGACTTGGAGGATAAGCTTCACTCTGTGCAGCTGACCAGGAAGAAAGAAGAGGAGACATTCAAGAGGAAGTGAGCCTCTCCTCGTGTCGGAGCCCAGGTCACACAGCTGAGCCAGCTGAGCCAGCCCTCCCGGAGCAGGCCAMGGCAGAGCACGTGCCCCCCGTGGAGTGGCTGCCGGGGCCTGGCTCAGCGTAGAGATGCCCTGAGCATGCTGGAGGTCCAGGGCTTGATCCCCAGCACTGGAAACACTAAAACACTTCCACACTTCAAAAACACTTTGAAAGCCACAGTTAAAAGTCAGCTTTTGAAACCTGGAAATGTTATCGACCAGCTCATCAGCTTTAGTTCATAGCTACAGATAACCTTTCTTTTCTTTTCTTTCTTTTTTTTTTTCTTTTTTGTTTCGTGGTGCTGGGGATTGAACCCAGGGCCTTGTGCATACAAGGCAAGCACTCTACCAACTGAGCTGTATCCCCAGCCCCAATATCTCAAAATGTAGAAGGGAGCAGGTCACTGTGGCCATGCCTGTGATCCCAGATGCTCAGGAGGCTGAGGCAGGAGGACTGGCATTCAGGCACAGCCTGGGCAACTTAGGGAAGAATTGGAAAAGGGTGGGGTGCACGCCCAGTGGTGGAGTGCCTGCCTAGCACCTGTGAGGCCCTGATTGCAGCCTCCAGAACCACAATAAAGGAAGGAACCTTGTTTGGTTACTCTTCCAAATGCACCTAGGGACATCTAAACACACGGTGACCTGCCACCTGCCACGGCTTTCCTCTTGCACCCTACACCATGCCCTTCATCCTTGGACCCCTGCTCCCAATCCTCATAGGAATTACTTGAATATATTTTTTATGCTGGTAAAAATTTGTAATCAATCACCCTGACAATATTTAAACTAAAACTCACTCTTGCTGGGGTCCAGGTGCTGACCTTGTGAAGGGTTTCTAAATTAAGGTATAGTTATTAGTCTGCAGTCCACAAGACAACACCGTTCACCATTAGATCAGCAACTACTAAGTGGGATGCACAGCACCGTGGGCGCCCCTCCTACTGAGGTGCGTGGACTCCCCAGCCAGCCTGCGTGTCTGGCTGAGGCCTTGTCCCTGCCGCGCTGGCAAGCTGAGTGGGTCCCGCCTCCTTCCAGGTTATGCACCAGCACCTAGTGACCTCCAGCAAGAATGGTTGCAGACGACCCGTCTGCTGATGAGTTGTGGGGCTCCTCACCTTGGTGACTGCAGAGAGCAGGTGGGGACCTGCTCACCAAGGGTTAGCAGGACCCTTCACTGACGAGTTAGGAGATTGTGTGAGAAGCCCCAGCCAGACTCTGCCCAGTCCCCCCCGCCCCCCCATGCTGCTGCTGCTGCTGCTCTGCTGGGAGGCACCTGGAATGCCCAGGGGCTGGTGGGGTGGGAGGGCCAAAGCCTGTGCCCGAGGGCACCAGCAGAGCTCTGGGGAGACGGAGTACCTTTGCCTCCTCAGGAATTATGCCATCGCCGACCTCAGACTGGCAGACTGGGTCTCAGAGTAGGGACTATATCCCCAGTCGGCAAACTGGCAGGGCATGTCCTTGCTGGGACACAGGGTCCTGCCAGGCCTGCGCCGCAGGCCGCCCCTCGCCAGTGCCTTTATGGCATTTGGGGTAATGTCGAGGGGGCTCCAAATCGCCAGATGGAGCTTGCAGCCTGTTAGAAAAGCAGGCTTTCATAACGACAGACTCTCAGGGCCACTGAGCCGCTGGACACCGCTGCGGTCTGTGCTTTACACCTCTGACCTGGGGCGTTCAGGGTGTCTGTGCCACGTGGGAGGAGTGGTAACGAATGTCCCCCAAAGATGAGGGCGGTGCTGCCTGCAGCAGCAGTCACCACCTCAGGGACAAGGTGCAGCCGTGACCGTGGTCTGGGGACGGCTGCTGAGTGCAGCTCTGGGTGACACACGGTGGGCCCTTCCCTGTGGTTCAGGCACGAGGAGCTTGACCGTTTGGCCAGGGAGAGGGACGCGATGCTGGTGGCTGTGAAGGGCACACACGCGGAGCAGCTGCGGGCACTGGAGGCCAGGGTCCTGGAGCTGCAGGCCCATGGGGACGCCCTGGAGGTGCAGCTGCGCAGGGCTGAGTGGACTCAGGCTGACGCCGCCAGGGAGAAGGACGCTGTCATTGACAGGTGAGCTTACAGCTTGCTGCTGCCCCCGCCCACGGGTGCTGGGGCCCTGGGGTGCTGGGCTCCCGGGTGGGCTCATGCCACCTCACACAGAGGGAGGGGCCTGCAGCTGGTGGGTGACTTCTGTAGCTGCCAGGTCATTTTTCTTAATGATTCTTCTGTCGTTTTCTGTTTGTTTGATTGATTGATTGATTGCAGTCCTGGGGATTGAACCCAGGAATGCTCTACTACCGAGCTTCATCCCAGGAACACCCCCCCACCACTGAGTTTTAGTTACGGATGGACACAGCACCTTTATTTTATTTATTTATTTTTACGCAATGCTGAGGATCAAATCCAGTGCCTCACACATGCTAGGCAAGCGCTCTACCACTGAGCTAAACCCAGCCCCATCCTAGCCCTTTTTTATTTTGAGACACAACCTGCCTACGTTGCTGAGGCTGGCCTTGAGCTTGCAGTCCTCCTGCCCCAGCCTTCTCAGTGGCTGGGGTGACAGGCACGTGCCACTGTGCAGGGCTCAGTTCTTTCCCTTATGTAGTTTCTGTGTGCATATGTGTGCATTTATCATGTGTGGTAAAGTATGCACAATAAAATTTATCACTTAAGAAAATTCACAGGCTGGGGATGTGGCTCAAGTGGTAGCACGCTCGCCTGGCATGCGTGAGGCACTGGGTTCGATTCTCAGCACCACATACCAACAAAATAAAAATATTGTATCCATCTAAAAAAACTAAGATATTTTAAAAAATAAATAATTTAAAAATTTGCTATTTTAAGCCAGGTGTGGTGGTGCAGACTTGTAATCCCAGCTACTTAGGAGGCTGAGGCAGCGGATCAAGAGTTGAGGTTATGGGGCTGGAGTTGTGGCTCAGCGGTACAGCGCTCGCCTAGCTTGTGCGAGGCCCTGGGCCCTGGGTTCTGGGTTCCATCCTCAGCACCACATACAAATAATGAATAGAATAAAGGTGTTAAGGGCTGGGGATGTGGCTCAAGTGGTAGCGCGCTCGTCTGGCATGCGTGCGGCCCGGGTTCGATCCTCAGCACCACATACCAACAAAGATGTTGTGTCCGCCAAAAACTAAAAAATAAATATTAAAAAATTCTCTCTCTCTGTCTCTCTCTCTCTCTCTCCCCCCTCTCTCACTCTCTCTTTAAAAAAAAAAAAAGAATAAAGGTGTTAAAAGAGAGAGAGAGTTTGAGGTTAGCCTGGGTAACTTGGTGATGCCTGGACTCAAAACGGCTGTGGATATGGCTCAGTGGTAGAGCACCCCGGGTTCAATCCCCAGTATTAAAAAAAAAAAAGTAGACATACAACCTAAACCACCCTAATGACTTGAGGGTCACAGCTCGCGGTCAGCGAGGCGGGCTGGCCTCCGTATCGCAGCACCACGTCTCATCCACCTGTCGGTGAACCTGTGGGTCTTCCCACCTTTAGCTCTGAGTCTTTCTGGGACTCTGCCCAGGTGTGCAGCTGCGGCTCGTGTGACCCTGCGCTCACCTTTGGAGTCAGCCCTTTCGGTTTCCACAGGGCTGTCTTCTTCCCACCAGCACGCACATGGTTTCCACTGAGCCCGGTTCCTTTCTGATATTCAAGCCAAGCCGTGGCAGGTCAGCAGCTCTGTCCAGTTGTGCCCAGTTTCCAGGGAGAGGTGTCTCCAAGGAAGCCATTGCGGTGACCCTGGGACACCATGTTCACAGAGACGTTGAGGACCCATAAGGCACTTGCTGATGCTTAGAACCTCTTGGGACCTCTCTTTGGTGCCGAGCATCCTCTGCTCAGCTGTATTCCTAGCTGAGAGGGAGATGCCTCTGGGGACTGTGAGACGCAGGGTGGGGGCTGCGCAGGAGAACCTCCCCGGGTGTGCCTCTCCCTGTCCCCAGTCAAGTTCAAGCAGCAGTCGGGGGGACGCCTGGCACTGAACCCAGCCACCTGGGACTGTGCTGTGTGCTCCCAGACACAGGCTGGTGGGTGGCTGCAGGCCCTTCCCGGCGGTGCAGGGTCTCAGCCTCCCCAGGGGGCCTCAGAAGGCTCTTGACTCTCTAGGTTTGTTGTTGAGGGCCACGACCACCCAGAGGGAGGCTATTCTGGAAAGGAGTTCCAACAGATTCCCAGGTTCTGAACGTGTCTTCCCCTTTTCTCTAGGGAGTTCGGTTCCGACTCAGACAAGTTTTCTGGAGTGTAAGTCAGAATCACGCAGTGACTTGTTCTTAGTCATCCCCTGGGTCAGCAGTTCTGCTGGTTTGCAGTTGGGATCACAGCACTCTGTGGGGTCAAGGTGGAAGCCCATGGCTGGGAGTGAGCTTTCTGCTTCATGGCACCTGTTGGTGTCCTCCTGTGATGACTCCCGCCTGAGCTGGGAGCAGGTGGCTGTGCACGGGGGCCCAGGCAGACCCAGTTCCTGGCTGTGCTTGTGCCGATCTGGAAGAGCAGGCCATTGCCTAGAGGTGCAGCCCTGTTCCAGCACAGAGGGCTCGTAGCCAGGTGCCTGGGAGCCAGAGATGCCGGTGCCTCCACAGGACTCTTCCTGGTGCCCCTAAAGTCCGGGCCCCAAGTTGCCCTAGACAAGACCAAGCTGGAAACACTCCTCCCATGCCAGGTTTTTTGGCTGGCCCCTTATGACCAGCGGTGGCCTCTGTGCTTGTAACTGCCACAGTCAGCCTCTCATCAGCACAGGTACCCGGAGGTCTGTTCCAGGGTGAGGTGAACAGGTGCCACTGTGCGACCCAGTGGCTGGTCAGGTCGTCTTCAATAGTAGGGTCTGCCACCAAGCAAGGGACAGTGCTGCTTGTGGGGTCAGTGCCGTGGCCCCCAGTCAGTATCTCCAGGTGTCTCCAGTGTTTTTCTTGGGAAACTGGTCCCGTCTCCGTGTCCCCCCCAGAGGCACTCTGCTGTCTCGCTCCCGCAAGGTGTCCTCTGGAGCCTCGTCTTGGGCTCAGTCTGAAATCGTGTGTCGCCTGTCCTTGTGTGTGAGCTGCTGTGCTGGGCCTAGCTAGGGCTGCAGAAATGCGGTGGCTTGACAGGGCCACCTCCAGCGGGTGGCCTTGCAGGACACATCCCTGTGTACTATGTTCAGCGATATCTGGTAGCTGGGCTGGCTGGCTGGCAGTCCTTCTGGGTAGAACCGTCGCCTGGGTCCAGGTGGGGACCTGGGCTCTGGTGTTCCTGAAAAGCTGATGTGCAGAAGTGTCGAGGGGTGGAGGGGGACAAGTGGCAAGCACACCGCATCCCCGACCTTCCGTCCAGGCTCCGTGAAGACGCAGCTGCTCTCAAAGCCAGCTGGGACGCCCAGGTCACTCAGATGTCCAAGGAGGCCGTCGCCAAAGACCTTCAGGTTCAGACACTGCGGGAAGAGGAGGTGAAGCTCCAGGCACAGTTGGCCCGACGCCAGCAGGATGTGGCCAGGTAATGTCCCCAGGGCAGCCATTTCTGTGAGTACCTGCTGCAGGCAGGAACCACTCCGGTCCTGAGGAGTCCAGCTGCACAGACCAGTCCTGGCCTGGCCTTCTTTGAGGAGAAATGAGAAAGCAGAAAAGAGCGTGGGGTGGTAGTGAGGGGGTGCGGAGGGTGGCAGGCGTGCCCAGGGCCACGTGGGGGCCTCCTCCAGCAGCAGAGCCGAGCAGGCCTGAGCCCCAGGGTTCTGTGCGGGCCTTGCCTGTGTCCTTGGCGTGCTGGTCAAGGTCCTGGGGTTCCCCTCCAGCTCTCCACTGGGTGCTGTTCTCTGTAGTTTGAAAGGTCAGCTTCACTGAGAGTAACTCAGATGTAGTGGACGTGCCCACTCCAACTGTCACCGCCACACAGCCACCCCAGGCTCCTCAGCCAGTAGCTGTCTGCAGCCCCCACGGTGGGCTCTGTCTGCAGAGGAGCAGCCTGGTCCGAGTTCCCGGCGCTGGAGCCCACGGCGCTGGTCTTGTATCTGGCTTCTTTGGCTTAGCACCCTCTTTTGAGAGGAGTGGGTGTTGCAGGCACAGGCTGGGCTTCTCTCTGCGGAAGTGTCCCAGGCACACGGTTCGCTTCCCCTTTTCCCTTTTCTGTTTTTCCTACGTCCACTTGGTAACTTGTGTCTGTCCATTTCACCTAGCTATTACCTAAGACTGCCCCTTGGTGGCCCTTTATTATGCTTTGAGTACATGGGAGGTGAGTGTCAGCCGCACTCGGCTGGATACCGGTTTCTAGTTTCTCTTTCCCCTCCACCGGCCCACTAGAGGGCTGCTGATCTGTCCGTCTCTCCCCTCCACCGGCCCACTAGAGGGCTGCTGATCTGTCCGTCTCTCCCCTCCACCGGCCCGCTAGAGGGCTGCTGATCTGTCCGTCTCTCCCCTCCACTTTTCTTCTGTTTCTAGTCTGATCTGCTGGCTCCCCTCTGCTCCTCTGTCTTGTGGCTTTGAAACCTGCTCCGGCCCAGTGACTAGCCCCTTGAGAAGGCTCAGTCCTTGTAGGTTCAGGCAGAGAACTGCACACAGGCCCTGGGGCGGGGGGCGCCTTCTGGTGTCCTCGTGGCCATCTTCTGGCCAGCAGCTGAGAGAGGCCTGGAAATCTGTAGCTGTGACTAGATCCCCTTTCCACCATCGCCTCAGCCACTGTAGTGAAGCTCTTGGCCAAGTGAGGGCACTGGGCGGCGTCCTGGCTTCTCGACAGCTGGCCTTTCTCTGGTAGAACCAGCTCCTCACCTGGACGGTGGTCTCTGCCCTGCACACTGCCAGCGTCCTGCTGCTGCTGGCCTGCTGCCCTCACAGGGTCCGGACAGCGCAGCTTTTTGTCTGTTAGGGTCACCCCTTCTCTTCCTGTGTACCTGGAACTGGTTTCCTGAGTGTGACCCCCCCTCCGCGGCGTGGGGTCTTCTCAGTGTTGGGTGGTCTTTGACATCTGTCCGTCTGCCATCTGCAGATGCCGTTTCTCCTCCGAGGCTTGAGTACAGGAGATTCCGTGTGCCTGCAGGCACGTGTGTGTCCCGGGTCGGCGCAGGCTGACCTGGGGACAGGAAGCCCGTGGCGGGTGCAGTGGAGCCCCGCAGGAGGCACCCCACCTCTGCTCTTCACGTGGAAGGAACCTCAAGCAACGTTAATGTGGGCGTCTGCATGTGCCACAGGTACAAGCAGGAACTGTCCCTGGCAGTGGAAAGGGAGAGGAACCTGGGGCGCGACCAGGTGCAGCTGAACCTAGACTGGCAGCGCCGCTGCGACAGCATCGAGAGGGAACAGATCCAGAGGTCTGAGGCCTTGATCCAGGGCCTGCTGGAGGCCAGGGATCAGGTGTGTGTGGCGCTGCGGGGCAGGCTTCCCGGGAGGGGCTTCCCGAGGAGGAGGGCCGGGAGCGCGGGCAGTGCCTGGCAGAAGCCTCACTGGGCGGTCATGACCGTGCCCTGCCCTGCAGCCCCTGCAGCGTGTCATCACGTTGCTGTGTGCCCTGGTACAGGGTGGGACTGGTCCTGCCTCCAGGCGAGGGCACCCTGGTGGCCAGGCCTGGAAGGTGCAAGTCCGCTGCCTGCCTCCACAGACGCGGCCATGAGTTCTGAGTGCCACGTGGCACTGGCCCTCAGGACTTTTCTCACCTGCACCTGCCATTTGCCTCTTAAGCGGAAAAGGGAGGCTGGTCTCAGGAACTGGCCAGTGCTGCCCGTCTCCACCAGGGATGTCTTCCCAGGTCACTGCCAAACTCCAGGAGACTGAGCGGGCCCTGCGTGAGCAGGAGGCGGTGCTGAGGGCCGTGACCCTGGAGCGGGACCAGGCTGTGGAGGCGCTGCAGGCACAGGGACTCCTCCCTGTGAAGGAGGTGAGCACACTTCCTCCCAGCTTCCTGCTCAGCAGATACCACCAACAGTGCCCCGTGGCCAGAACCACCGTGGGCCTTCCAGTCCCGTCCCTTCAGTGACTGGCTGTCAAACAAGCCTGAGTGTGGGACTTTGGAGAGTTCAAGTGGAGCCAGCAGGTGGCTGAGGCAGGAGGATTGCCAGCCCCTCTGCAGTTTAGCCAGACCCATCTCAAAAACTAAACAGAGCACTTGCCTGGTTTGTAGGAGCCGCTGGGATCCATTCCCAGCACTGAAAAAAAAAGAGTTAGAATAGTACGTACACTGTTCAGCGCTCTTCAGAATCTTCTTCGTATCTTTGCCTTTTTTTTTTTTTTTGGTGCTGGGAATTTAACCCAGGGGAGCTCTACCACTGAGTGACACCCCCAGCCCCCTCCCCCTCTATTTAAAATTTAAGACAGAGTCTCACCAGGTTCCTGAGGCTGGCCTTGAACTTGCTAGCCTCCTGCTTGGCCTCCTGGTCACTGGGATCACAGATGGGGTCAGCGCTGTATCTTTAGCATTTGAAAGCACTAAAAGCCCCAAATTCAAATGCAACTTGAGGCTGGAGGTGTAGCCCAGGGATAGGTCACAGGCACAGGCTGAGCGTGAGGAGAACCCTGGTTCCATCCCCAGTGCTGAGAAAGAACAAATCCCAGATATGACTGGACAGTAGATGTTGGTGAAGAATCATGATCACAGTCTTTTCCTCATACCATAGAGCGGGTCATTTCATGCCATGTTGTCCTTGAAGCTCCTGGTTTTGATTGGCGGGGACGATAGTGGTCAATAGTTGTTAAGTACTAAGCCTGTGCCACTGTGGTCGGTGACACAGCATCTGTCAGCCTGCTTCATCCTGCTCAGGTGGGTGCTCTGGCCTGAGGAGCTGGCCTGAGCTGCCACAGCTGCTGGGCAATCTGTGTCCCCAGGCAGGGGCAGGGGCAGGGTCCCCAGGCAGGGGTCAGGGATCTGGTTTGGGAATGAGGCTCAGAAGCCATCTTCACCTGCGTCCACTGGAGGGTGAGGCTGCACTTAGCATGACCTTCTTAGAACATGTTGAGGCCACTAGTGTCCCATGAGGGACAGCCACTCTCCCTGTTGCCTAAGGTAGCAGAGGACTGAGTGCTTTGGGGGACCTTTCTGGGTGGGGCCTAGGCCTGCCTCCTAGGTCTTCCCTCCCCTGCTGCCCACGGTCAGCCAGGGAGGCTGAGGGCAGGCAGGAGCCTTGCTCTCCAGTGTGGCTCTTCCTCAAGCTCTTGGTAGCAGGCCGTCCTCCTGGCAGGGAAGCCATGGGCCGGCTCTGGCCTCTCGGCTCCCGGTGCTTGGTGCTCGCCTGTGGCCCTGCTGCGGGCAGCGAGGTGCCTGGGAGCTCAGCAGCAGGAGGCAGGGCCAGACTGGCCACCAGTGCCTCTTCCCTCCCCTGTGGGCCATGCTGTCCCCACACTCACTCAGAGTCCCAGGAGAGCATGTTGGACACACACCGCGGGCAGCGAGCCCCAGGGGTAGAGTCAGACACCATGGCCAGGCTCAGGCCCCTTCCAGGGTGACCAGGGGCAGACGAGGGCCGTCTTCCTCTCGCCGCACAGTGCCTGGGGGCCGGCAGCAGCAGCAGCCTGCACCTCACTGCCCCCGGGAGGAAACTAGGCTTTCGTCTCTGCCAGTGTTCTCCCACTCCTGGCTGGCCACCGGGAGGAGACGTCGGTGCCTGGTCGGGTCTGTCTCTGGCTTGGTCTTGGTGAAAAAGCGAGACTGGGAAGTGGGCTGGGATCAGAAACAATCACGTCCCACCTGTGAAGTATCCTTCGTCTGGGACCCAGGCCCAGCTGAGGCCCCGCAGCTGCACCGTGGAGACTCCCACTGAGCCTGAGCTGCCCTGGAGACAGACGGTGCCCAGAGGCCCTCTGCAGACTGTCCAGCTCTGATGGAGGCTGGCCTCAGGGCCAGGGTGCTGTGGGGAGAGGCCGTGGCAGCTCCTGGCTGACAACACTGCCTGAGGTGACCACAGAAGCCTGCTCCGACAGACACCGTCAGGCAGTGCGCCTCACCTGGCAAAACTGCAGCAGGAGCAGTGGCTGCCGCCAGGTGCGGAGGAGGTCGGGAGCAGGGGGCATGGAATTGGGTCCTGGAGGCTTCTCTGGGGCCAGTGCGGGATTCGCCCTCTGCCTGACTCGGCTCAGAGGTCACAACTGCAGCTTCTGCTTGGTGCTCACCACTCTGTGCAGAGGCGGGTGCCGATGTCTGGTGCCAGAGTGGAGCAGTGCGCAAAGCAGCCCCAGTGCAGAGGCAACCCCCGCAGAGCAGCAGGTGCTGCCTCTGTGCGGCAGGCAGGAGAGTGGGGAGGCAGGCGGCCAGGCGGCCAGGGACCTCTGCTGCACGGGCTGCCTTTCGGCCTGCCTGACACCGGCTTCCAACGCAGAGCTTCAGGATGGGGTGCTGTCCACCTTTACTTACAGCCCAGGGTGGACCGCGGTAGGGTGCTTCTGGTTCGGAGGTTCACTAACGCTCCCAGGAGGGAGAGGATGCCACCAGCCTGGGACCAGAATAGGTATCCTGTCACTAGAGTCCTGGGAGGTCCCAACAGATGAGGCCCAGCCATTGGCACAGAGGAGAACTAGGCAGAAAGGGCTGGGGAAGAAGGCAGGAGTCTGTTGTCAGTGTGTGCCACTGGGAAGGCAGGTCTGAGGCTGATCTCTGGGTGCCAGCTTTAAGGCCACCCAGGGAAGGTACAGAGGCGAGGGTCGGTGGGCCTGGTCCCCTGGAGCTGGCCATGCAGAGTCATGGGTGCCAAGGACATCACCACTGCTGACGGGGGCAGTGCTGATTTCCACGGCAGGAGGCTATGTGTCCGACCAGTGGTCCTGGAATCAGATAACTCAGCAGCGCAGAGAGGCGAGGGGTTGGTCGGGCAGCGAAGGTCCTGCTGCACCCCAGCCGACTCGGCATAGATCCTCCTAAGTTCCCAGGCTGGTCTGATCCTTCTGCCTCAGCCTCCGCGCTGCTGGGAGCGCAGGGTGTGCCATCGTGCCTGGCTATTCCCCACCCTTTTTAAGTTTTCACTTAAATCCTGTTTCTGGGGGACACTGTTCTGACAGCATTATCAACAGAGGGAAAGTAGTGTGTGTGTTTCTTTTTGAAAGATGCAGTGTGTGATATTATTTTCAAAGGAGTTTGTTCCTTTCAGTTTTCTGTAGCTTCTGAGAGAGAGTGATTTGTAAATTTTGAAAATATTGAAACATGCACTTTTAGCCTGAAAAAAGTTTGTTTGTTTGTTTGTTTTAACTTTAAAACAGGGTCTTGCTAAATTGCTGGCCTCAAACGTGTTATCCTCCTGTCTTAGCCTCCCAAGTAGCTAGAATCCCAGGCCACTTTGCCCCTGCACCTGGCAGATTGGGGACCGTTGTGACCCTGTTTTGAGACGCGTGTTCTGGGCTCCCTGGTTGTTGTGGGTCTTTCTGTCTCAGGCTGCTTCATGTCACCCCACAGGCCTCTGAAGCTGTGCTCACCTTTTTTCTTTTTTGATCTCTTTCCCTCCAACGTAATTTTGGATACTTTCTACTAATATGCATTTATGGTAACTTTTCCCCGCGCTTTCAAATCTGCTCTTTACTCCACTTCATCCAGAGAATTGTTCATGGTGCTGAAGTGTACACAAAACCCACCGTCTTTGCCATTCTTAGAGCGCAGCTCACAGTGGTCCAGCGGACTCTGCCAGCCATGGCCCGGACTTCCCCCCTTCCCGGTCCCCACTGGAGCTCTGGCCCCCTGAGCACTGACTCCCGCCCCTCAGCCCTCGGCTCCCACACTCGACTGCCCGAGGGACCCACCCCCTGAACACTGCACAGATTCCAGTGCTGTCAAATGCTCAGTTTGGGAAGGGCCCTCACAGCCTGGAGGAGAGGTGGGGGGCCGCAGGGGCAGGAAGGACACAGGGAGTGGGGGACTGTTTCTTTCACCGTCCCCTCCTCCTTCTGTCTCCCTGCTGGGGGTCACACCCACGCTCCCTGGTGCTGCCAGGGAGTGCTTTACCCCAGAGCTACCCCCAGGGCTGCCCCGAGCTGTGTCCCCACCCCTTTTTAGTTCTCATTCACTTTTTATCCCAGGATGTGGATGTTCCCTGGGTGCAGGACGGCTGTGCGAGCCTGGGGTCAGTGTGGGCGCACTGGTGCCCATGGAGGCCGGGGCTCTGCCCCTCTGCTCCCCGTCCGTCTCCACTGCACGGCCTCCCTGTTCCCATGGGGTCCCTTTCCACTCCCTTCCCTCTCTCTAGCTTCCCCGGGTTGGAGAAGAATCCCCCCCGCTCCGCCCCTTCACCAGGGCTGCCACTAGTCCACCACTCTACACGACCCACCAAGTAGGAGCCCTGTGTCATCCACCCACCTCCCGATGGGCCAGCGAGCGAGCGAGCGAGCGCCTGGGCTGGTTCCCTAACGTGACCCTTGTGAGCTGTGCTGCTCTACGCATTGATGTGCCTGTAATGCTGCTGAAGGCGGATTTTGGTTCTTTTGGATAGTATCAAGGAGTGGATTAGCTGGTGGTTCCATTCCTAGTCTTTTGAGGATTTCCTGTGTTGCTTTCCAAAGGTGTACAAATTCGCAGTCTCACCAACAACATATCATTGTGCCTTTCCCCTACACCCTTGCCAGCATATTTATTTATTTATTTGGTACCAGAGATTGAATGCAGGGGTGCTTAACACTGAGATAAATCCTCAGCCTTTTTAAAATTTCTTTTTAAAAAATTTTTTTAGTTGTAGATGGACACAATACCTTTATTCCATTTATTTATTTTTATTTGGTACTGAGGATCAAACCCAGGGCCTCATCTGTGTGAGGCAAGCGCTACACCACTAAGCTACAACCCCAGCCCTAAATTTATTTTTTATTTTTAAACAGGGTCTCGTTAGGTTGCTTAGGGCCTCACAAAGTTGCCAAGGCTGCCCTTGAACTTGTGATCCTCCTGCTTAGCGTCCCAAGTCACTAGGATTCAGGTGTGTGCCCTCTGCCTGGCCAGCATTTATTATTACTTGTATTCTTTTTTAAAAATTGTTTTTAGTTGTGGTTGGACATAATACCTTTATTTCACTTATTTATTTTTATGTGGTGCTGAGGATGGAACCCAGGGTCTTACACATGCAAGGCGAGCGCTCTGCCACTGAGGCCCAGCCCCAGCCCCAGCCCCACTTATCTGTATTCTTGATGGCTGCCCTTCTGACTGGCATGAGATGAAATCTCAGTGTAGTTCCAGTTTGCATTTCCCTGATTCAGTTTGCATTTCCCTGGTATTTTTTAATATATTTGTTGGCCAATTGTGTTTCTCCTTTTGAGAAATGTCTCTTTAGTTCTTCCGTCTGTTCATTGATGGGTTTGTGTTGTTGCTGTTGTTGAGTCTTTGAGTTCTCTATGTGTTCTGGATGTTAGTGCCCTGCAGAGGAGTGGGCGCCATCTCTAGTCTTTCTCTTCACGGTCTTGATCCTTTATTTTGCTGTGCAGAGGCTCCTTGATTTGTTGTCATCCCACTGACTGATTCTTGGTTTTATTTCTTGAGTTTTAGGGGTCTTGTTAAGGAAGTCGGTACCTGTGCCGAGGTGTCCGAGTGTTGACCCTCTATGTTCTTCTAACTGTTGCAGAGCCTTTGATCCAATTCCTAAGCCTTTGATCCACTTTGAGTTGAAGTTTGTGCATCTAGTTTCATTTCTGTGTATGTATATCCAGTTTTCCAAGCACAATTCATTAAAAAGACCATCTCTTTTCTCCGACATATTTTTGTTGTTGTTGTTGTTGTTGTTACTTTTTATACCAGGGATTGAACTTGGGGGCACCACTGAGCCACATCCCCAGCCCTTTTTTGTATTTTATTTAGAGACGGGGTCTCCCTCAGTTACGTAGCACCTTGCTAAGTTACTGAGGCTGGCTTTGAACTCGTGATCCTCCTGCCAAGCCGCATTCTCCACTGGGCCTGGCTCTCCAACATGTTTTTGGCGCCTTTACCAAGCATCGGTTGACTGTGTACCAGGTACACGTGTGTACATGTGTATATCAGATGCCTAAGTTCCAGACACTCGGTGGACCGTCTCTGCCCTGTTCCTCTGTTTTCAGGCCAATGCCATGCTGGTGTTTACTGCCTGTGGATTATTTGCTGCAGGTGTCAGTGCCCCGGCATTGCTCTCTTGCTCAGTATTGCTTTGGCTATGCTCAGTCTTTTAGTCTTCCATGTGAATTTCACGACTATTTTTTCTATTTCTGTGAAAAATGTCACTGGTACTTTGTTGGGGACTGCAGTGCGTCCTCGTGACACTTTAGTGGTGTGGCCATTTTAACAGTGTCGACTCTGCCTCCTCCGTCTTCTGGCATCTTCTTCGCTTCTCTCTTCAGTGTTCCACAATTCCTGTTGTAAAGACCTTTGATCTCAGTTAGGTTCATTCCCAAGCATTTTATTTTATTTTGAGGTTATTGTGAGCAGGATAGGTTTTTTACTTATTTCTCAGCAGGTTCATTATTGGAGTATAGAAAACGGACTGATGTATGGGTGTTGTTTTTTTTTGAAGTCTGCATTTACTTTTACTAAAATTACACCAATCAAACCATGTGTCCTGCTTCCAGCGTGGGTGGTGTCTGGTCCTCAGGTGGTGATCTCAGAGTTCCTGCAACTAAACTTCAGTTTTTTTCAATCACCATACATCAAGTCTTTTTAATCTAGCTTTTTAAAATTAAGTTATCTATTTATTCTAATTTGTTATATAGGATAGCAGAATACAATTCATTTCATATCACACATATAGAGTTCAACTTCTCCAGTCACACCATTCGTGTCTTCACGTATGTTCTTAGGGTAAGATGTCTGGCTCACTCCACCGTCTTTCCTACCCTCTTGCCCCCTCCCCTCCCCTCCCTCCCCTTTGCCCAATCTAGAGTTCCTCCATTCCTCCCATGCTCTCCCCACATCGCCATTATGAGTCAGAATTCTCAATTCAAAGAAAACATTCAGCCTTTGGTTTTTTGGGGATTGGTCAACTTCACTTAGCATTATACTCTCCATCTCCATCCATTTACCTGCAAATGCCATGATTTTATTCTCTTTTAATGCCGAGTAATATTCCATTGTGTCTATACACCACAGTTTCCCTACCCATTCATCTACTGAAGGGCATCTGGGTTGGTTACACAATTTAGCTACTATAAATTGTGCTGCTGTAAACATTGAAGTGGCTGTGTCCCTGTAGTATGCTGTTTTTAAGTCCTTTGGGAATAAACTAAGGAGTGGGATAGCTGGGCAAATGGTTGCGTGTTGATCTTTTGTCCTGCTGCTTGGCTGAACTTGTCCATCAGCTCTAGAAGTCTTCTAGTAGAGTTGTTTTTTGTCTTGTTTTGTTTTGGTTTGTTTATCTTCTCATATAGGATCCTGTCATCAGCAAATACATCATTTAACTTCTTTTCCTACTTGTGAAATCCCTTTAATTTCCTTTTCTTGCCTGATTGCTCTGGCCAGAGTTTCAAGAACTGTATAGAATAAGAGTGGCAAGAGTGACCTCCTTGTCCTGTTCCTGATTTTAGAGGAAACACTTTCAGTTTTCCCCTCTCACTGTGACGTTGCTTGTGTCCCTAGCGACTCCGGTGTTTTTAAAACATGAACAGATGCTACATTTTGTTGAATGTGTTTTCTGCATCTATTGAGATGATCATGTTTTTATTTTTATCTCTATTTGGGTGGTGAATTACACTTACTGACTTTCATATGTTGAGCCAATCCCTGGGATGAAATCTGCTTGTTCGTGGTATACTGCTGTTTTTTTTTTTAATATGTGCTTGAATGTGGTTTGCTAATGTTTTTTTAGATATGTTGTTTTAGTTGTAGATGAACAGAATACCCTCATTTACTTATTTTATGTGGTGCTGAGGATGGAACCCAGTGCCTCACGTGAGTGAGGCGAATGCTCTCCCACTGAGCGAGCGCAGCCGCAGCCCTGTTTCCTAGTGTGTCACTGAGGATTTCTGCCTCTGTGTATCAGGGAGGGCAGTCTGAGGTTTCCTCTCTCTGATGTGTGTCTTTGTCTGGTTTTGGTCCCAGGGTGATGTTGGCTTTATAGAATGCATTTGGGAGTGTTCCCTCCCTTTCTATTTCATAGGATAATTTGAGGTTAGTTCTTTAAAGACTGAGTAGAATTCCACTGAGAATCCATCTGGTTTGGGGCCTTTCATTGTTAGAAGGCTTTTAATTACTGTGTCAGTTGTACTGCTTGGTATTGTTCAGTTTAGGTTTTCTGTATCTTCCTGGTTCAATTTGGACAGATAATGTGTGTCTAGGAAATTGTCAATGGTCTGTTTAGATTTTCCCATTTATCGGGATGATCCTCTGGATTTCAGAAGCCTCTGTGGTGATGTAGCCTCTTTAGCTCTAATTTTGTTGATTTAGGTCTTATTTTTAAATTTGTTCTAATTAGTTCTACATGACAGTAGGATGTATTTTGACACGTTGATCACAAATGGGTCTCCTTTGTCTTTCCTTTGTTCAGTTTGGGTAAAGGTTTATCAGTCGTGGGCTGGGGACACAGCTCAGTTGGCAGAGGGCTGGCCCCTCGTGCACAGGCCCTGGGTTCAATCCCCAGCAAGGCAAAAATATTTTTAAAGGTTTATTAACTTAATATATCTTTTCAAAGAACCAACTCTTCATTGCACCGATCCTTTTTATTTTATTTATTTTATCCCAGTTTCATTAATTTCAACTCTGATCTTAGTTATTTTCTGTCTTCTACAGATTTTAGAATTAGTTTGTTCTTGCTTTTTGGGGACTTTGAGATTATTTATTTGGGATCTTTCTTTTTTTTAAATATTTTTTAGACATTGCTGGGCCTTGATTTTGTTCACTTATCTACACGCAGTGCTGAGAATCCGACCCGGTGCCTTGCAAGGCCAGGCGAGTGCTCTGCCCCTGAGCGCGGCCCAGCTCCTGGGAGCTTCCCTTTTGTATGTAGGAACTCAAGGCTGTGAATTCTTCTCTTTAACTGCCTCCATGGGGTTTCAGAGATTTTGATACATTGTATCTCTGTTCTCACTTGTTTCTGAGAATTTTTCAGATTTCTCCTTTGATTTCTTACGGGACCTTTCCTCATTGGGAAGCATGTTATCCAATCTCCACATGTTAAAGCGGTTTCTCTTTGGGCCGGGGTTGTAGCCCAGAGCACTCGCCTCGCACGTGTGCGGCCCTGGGCTCGATCCTCAGCACCACATAAAAATAAATAAATAAAGACAAAGGTGTTGTGTCCATCTACAACTAAAAAGAGTCTTTAAAAAATGGTTTCTGTTTTTTATCTTGTTATTGATTTCTAATTTTACCCTATTATGAGCTGATAGGATGTAAGAAATGATCTCTATTTTTTAATATTTTCTTAGACTTGCTTTGTGCCCTAAAATGTGGTTTATTTTAGAGAAAATTCCTTGTGAGTGGGAAGAAAGTAAATTTGGTTGTTGATGGATGAAATATTCCGTTGATGTCTGTTAGTTTCACTTGATTAATGATATTTTTATTTCTGAGAGCCTTGGTTAGCTCCTGTCTGGATCACCTGTCTACTGGTAAGACGTTGCTGGACTCGCCCAGTGCCGTCCGGTTGTGGTCTGTGTGACTCTTGTGTGTAGACACTGACAGTCCTGGTGTAGAGATCTACCGTCGTCGTGTCCTGCTGTTGGATGATTCCTTGCCCAGTATGGGTGGCCTTTGTTTCTGGGTCTACCTTGTCTGAGATAAGAGTAGTCATCTCTGCTTGCTTTCAGTCTCCATTTGCATGGTGCACATCTTTTTCTGTTCTTCACAGTTGGCCTATGGATGTTTTTGCCTGAGAGGTGAGTCTCTGTTAACAACACATGGTGGGGTCTTGTTTTTTGATCCCGTGTGCCAATCTATGTCTTTAGTTTAGACCATTTACATTCTGTGTTACTATAGAGAGATGATTTTTATTTTCTGCATTTTAACTTATTTCTCATGCTTAATGAAGAGAGGACTCTCCCCTGATTGATGTGATTCACTGGCTCTGGCGTTTACTTTTATTTCATCTGCATGAAATGCTTCATTGAGCACGCTCTCTAGTGCAGGCTTAGTGGTCATGAATTTCTTTCTAGTTTCTGCTTGTCACGGAAGATTTTTATTTCAGCTTGAGGTCTGGAGGGTAGCTTGGATGGATACTGCAGTCTTGTCTGCACCTGTGATTTATCAGGGCTTGGTGCCCATGATTCCAAGCACTTCTGGCTGAGAGAACAACAGCAAGTTTAATTGGCTTATCTGTAAACGTGACCTTCCTTTTTCTCTTGCGACTTAGAATTCTATCCTCGTTCTGTTTAGGTACCGTCATTATAATGTGTGTTGAAGAGGATCTTTTTTTTTTTTTTAAAGAGAGAGTGAGAGAGGAGAGAGAGAGKGTGAGAGAGAGAGAGAGAGAGAGAGAGAGAGAGAGAGAGAGAGAGAGAGAATTTTTAATATTTATTTTTTAGTTCTCGGCGGACACAACATCTTTGTTGGTATGTGGTGCTGAGGATCGAACCCGGGCCGCACGCATGCCAGGCGAGCGTGCTACCGCTTGAGCCACATCCCCAGCCCGAGAATCTTTTTTTTGATCTTATCTATTTGGGTTCTAATGCCTCCTATATTTGGATTTTCATTGTTATAAGGGTTGGAAATTTTTCTGATATTATTTCATTAAAAAATTTGTGCATTCCTTTGGTTTTATTCAAGTGCCTTCTTCTACAACAATGATTCTTATATTTGGCCTCTTAATGTTATCCCAGATTTCTTTGAATATTCTAGTCATGATTTCCTAACATCTCTTCTTTACCTGTTGACTTAATTATCAAGTTTATATTCTTTGTCTTTGAAGTCTGAGAATCTGTTTTCTTTTTTTTTTAAGTTATTCTTTTTAAAAAATTTTTTTTTAGTTGTCGATGGCTGAGACTCGAACCCAGTGCCTCACACCTGCTAGGGAAGTGCTCTACCACTGAGCTATAACCCCAGCCCTATAACCCCAGCCCTAAGAATCTGTTTTCAGTGTGGTCTAATCTGTGGGTGATGCTTTCAACTGAATTTTAAATTTGGTTTATTGAATCTCTCATTTCCAGTATTTCTCTGGTTCTTTTTCAGAATCTCTTTGAAAAAGAAATGTTCTTTCATTTCCTGCATTTTCTCTCTGGTTTCATTTCTTAATCTTCTTTTAGCTTATAGAACATTCTACCAGAACTTCCTCCACGGTGGTGTTTATGGACGCAGCAGCTGAAGTGTGGTGGGCTCTCTCGGGTGGCCCGTTCCCTTGTGTGTGTATCTTCCCGTCTGTGGGGACGATTACCTCTTCTTAGGGGAGGGGACACTAGTGAGCCCCTTCTTAGGAGCCCAGGCTGTGTGAATGTGACACTCCCACTGAGCATGTGCCTCTGCTGCTGACCAGGCCAACTGCAGTCACTTCAGGGAGGAGCCAGATACCAGCTGACCTCAGGGGAGAGTACTGAGGGTGTTCCCTGGACTTCCTCCAATCCAAGCATAAAACTGGAGCAATTGATTATTAAAGATAACAAAATCCTATTTAACTACATAGGAATTCAAAGGCAGAAAAGAGAAAAAAATACAAACTAACATGAAAAGAAGAACAGAGAAAGAAAAGAGACAGGGGCAGGTAATGCAAGAAGGGAAAGAAATTGGGAGAAACAGTGAAACCCTGTTCTGGGAAGCAAAGAGAAGGAATGATTCCAGTTACTAGTTTTTATCTGGAGACAGGGTTTTGCTAAATTGCCTGAGCTGGCCTTGAACTTGGGATCCTCCTGCTCAGCCTCCTGAGTTACTGGGATTACAGGTGTGTGCCACTCCACCCAGCTATCCCCAGCCCTTTTTAAAATTTTATTTAATTTGGTTTTTTTCTTTCTGTTTTTGTTTGTTGCTTTGTGATGCTGGGAGTTCAACCCAGGGGTGCTCCACCAGCCCTTTTAGTTCTTGATTTTGAGACAGGGTCTTTCCAAGGTGCCCAGGCTACCCTTGAACTTGTGTTCCTCCTGCCTTGACCTCATGAGCCTCTGGGTCCCAGGTGCAGTCACCGGGCCCCACTCTTCTCTTGTGTGTGTTTGACAGTTCCCAAGGCAGCACAAAGGGGAAATCGGTTCAGCTTTTCCATCCAGTGAAATCCAGCGGCTGCAAGACCAGAACACGAGCTTGCGGAATGCTGTCGCTCAGATGAGGAGGGAAATGGAGGCGCTGAGCGGGGAGACTCTTCCTTCTGCACAGTCGGGAGAGAACGCATGCACACACCTGCCCGAGGCCGAGGCTGCGGGGGACACGGCCCCTCCTCGTGAGTGGAGGTGGGGAGGGTTAGACTTGCCCACTGGGTCGCCTTGGATGGTTCATGTCCGAGTCTTGTTTAACGCCCTTCAACAAATCATTCCAAAGCTGGAAGGCTGCTGTTCCCCCAAGAGACGGTCCTGAGCTTTGTGTTTAAGTCTTTTTCTTGGTGAAGGGGAGGGCAATGTACGGGGTGCATGCCTGATGCACTTAGAACTGGAACAGGCTGGGCCAGGCAGGACGCTGTGCTGTCCCGAGTAGCTGGCAGTGGGAGCCACCTGGCAGGGCCCTGCTCCCGAGAAGTACCCTGTGGTGGGGCTGAGACAGTGGCCCCTCCCGGGCCGGGCTCATAGTGGGCACCAGAGCAGCTGTGTGACCAGTGCCTGAGGTAGGGACTGTTTCCTGTTGTCACAGAGGCCTGTGGGAAAAGGCCGGTGGAATCTGTCCCCGTCTCTGATCCCTGCTCAGAGGACGTGGAGGCCGGGCGGGTCTCCCCATGTGCACTCTGGGGAAGGAGGGGAGAGAAGGCCCTAGTGGGCAGGAGGGAGCAGAGGACGTTTGCTGGTGTTTTGGGCAGGTTACGTTCTGGCCTTGGCAGCAGAAGTGCAGAACTTGAAGCACAAGCTCAGCGCCCTGGAAGGAGAGCTGGCCGGCTCGCCGGGGCCTCCGGAGACATCCTCGGGGGACGCCAAGCTGCACCGCAGCGCCCTGGAAGGAGAGCTGGCCGGCCTGCCGGGGCCTCCCGAGCTGCACCCCAGCGCCCCCACCTTCACAGAGACTGGTGAGGGTCCCTGGGTGGCTGCGTCACAGGCTGTCTGCCCAGTGAAGTGGAAATGACCCCCACGGGAAGTCCTCCAAATGCAGGTGCAACCGTGGGGGTCCAGATCCAGGAGCCTTGCCCCTGCTAGCTGCCACTGACCCCTCACCTTCTCAACTTGGCGTTGTGTGGTGCACATGCTCCTTCTGGCTTCCTGGGTAGTCCACAGCCGGCTGTTTCCCAAGGTCTTTGTGTGACCACAGTGCCTCAGCCCTCCAGGAGAGCTCGCCCACTTGCAGGGCTGCCACCGTGAAGAAACCACAGTTGGCCCTAACAGACCCTGCCACCAGCTGGGGCCTCAGAGGGCTGCCCCAGTCCTGGGCAGTGCTTACTGGGTGAGGGACATGGCCGGTTGCTCTCTTGGTTCTAGCTGGCCTCCTTGGTGGAAACCCATGTCCTCTCCCCAGAAGGGTGCTGTCCCTGGTGCAGGGCAGGACACAGCCAACTGGTAGGAGCGGTAGAGGGCAGGGGGCTCCTGCGGTTCTGGTGCTCCCCCTGGTCCTGGGACTCCCCCTGGTCCTGGGGCTCCCCGTGGTCCTGGGGCTCCCCCGGTCCTGGGGCTCCCCCTGGTCCTGGGGCTCCCCCTGGTCCTGGGGCTCCCC